AGAAAAAAAAACAGAACCAAAGGACCATTGAGGAAGCATTTCAGGAGAGATGTGCTCGCTCCAGGGGGTGAAATTCACAGTGTAACATTATCAAAACCAATGCTACTGTATAACTCAGAAATATGGATTCTAAAAGCACAAAGACACCCAAAAGCTGGAAGCTATACAGATGGTATTGCCCAGGCAATCCGGAATGAGACAAGTCTCTTTCAGACCAGAACAGCCAGGTCTAAAGCAGTACGCTTGCAGGATGGCTACAACATGTTGGGCAAAACATCAGCCACCACGAGAGAGATGCGGCTCATCCAAGATAGCCTAGTCAATATAAACTGTAGCTGCAGAAGCCTACGCAATCATAAGCTACTAAGATGAGATTTCTACACACATAACAGGACCAGACTGACACGGAAATAAAAAAGATTCTCAAGACAAACATAGGAGAGGGTATAAAAGAGAACCAGAGAAGATGACTCACCCATATTTACAGAATGAAAAAGGAAAGATCGACAAAGATGCCTTAAAGTTAAAGTATTTGTTGATACAATATGGCAAGGATTGGTGAGAAGCAAGCTACATATTCTAAGAAATGATTCAAAACAAGCACTTGAAAATTGAAATATATGAACAAAGATTTCATTCCAATGCCAAACAATGTTAATACTCACATTTTTTCTCAGTTCATTTTCATGAAATTCTGGCACTTCCTGAAAACTAAGAACAGGTTTTCTCAGAGCTGAATACAACCCTTTTGTCCAATGTAGAGACCCAGCAAAAAAAGGGCGGTTACGATCAAGAGGAGGATCTTCTTTGTGTTTCTGGAAGAAAATAAAAAACTTGTATATGAAGAATGATTTTCAATGATAGTCATTCAGTTACAAACAGTCAATTCATTCAGTTACAAACAAACCTGGAAATCGCTTTCAATATCCAATAATTCCTTTTTGTAATGTTGAAGAACACACTGCAATTTATGCTTCAATTCTTCATGAATTACAGGCCTTGTCTCAAAATGTGTAAACTTCAAAAGCAATTTAATAGCTTGATGTGAGTCTCTGTAAGTTAGAAAAAATATATAGTTTCTGAATTACAATCTGAAATAATAATCTGGTAATATATCTGTTTTGTAATATACAGTATAGCATATCGTTGGAATTCAAGTGAAACAGGGTCCAAAAAACATGCTTTGAGATAAATCAAGAGGAAGTTGATTCTGTTAAATTTGTCTTCTCAATATCTTTTGCTAGATAGGAAACATAATTTTTTTAACACACACTTTAACATGTAATATTGCTTTAAAGAAACAACAAAAACCAGGAACAAAGATGGATTTTCCTTTCAAAGATAGATTTTTCAATTCCACAGTTTTGTGACAAGAAAAATAAAATAATTGATAATTTAGCTCACCTAAGCCTCAGGAACAATTTCATTAATCATAAGAATGTGAAGAAATGTGATACTGATGTAATTAATGGAAAAACAAAAAATGGACATAGTTTCACTTGTTTACCAACAGTATATTACCATATAATACATATTTCAATTATGGCATAATGAGATGGAGGACCACAAATATGATATCATCTAGAACATACCTCATACCATTCAGGCAAAAATAATGAAAAATTCTCAGGATATTTTGAACACAAGTAACAAAACTAAAGCAATGTGAAATATCATAAAAAAATACTTCCACATCATCACAATACTTTGTAGAGAATGTTGTTTTAAAGGAAAATGATGGAGAAGTAATTGAGTAAAAGATATAAAATCTTCAACTATCACTTTTCTAGAATTGCAGCTGACCTCTCAAAGGAACTAAGTCACAACCATAAAATTCAATATCATATGCTTCCCAAACAATGTTTATTTCCAAAACTTCTTCCAGTGAAATACTCGTTCTAAGTTCGTAAAATAAAAAATAAATGTTCGTCTTGTTGATGTTGACTAATGATGAATTACCAGATAGTTGATTTAAAACTTGTGCACCTGCCTTTATATACTCATTATCTCACATTATCAATGCTTCTTTATGCACAGGAATATTTCCAGATATTTTCAAAACAGCAAAAAATAAGCCACTCTTCAAAAAAAGGCAACAAAAATGAATTTCAAAATGATCAGCTAATTTCTCTTTTGTCAGCTTTCTTAAAAATATTAGAGAGAAATTTCTATATGAGAATAGAAAATTTCCTCAGGAGAAATGAAATGTTTTCGGACTCACAACACAGATTTAGAAAATCAAAATCTACAGAAACTGCTGTTTTTTCTTATCCTAAAGAGGCTGCTTCATCAAATGACCAAAATGAAGCACCTATTGAAATCTTTTTGAATCTTAACATCTTTGACATTATTGACCATAACATTTTGCTCTCAAAATTTCCTTCATATGGAATTTGTGATATTGGTTTAGATGGGATAACCTTATTACTTAAACATTCTCTGAAGTTTCCCTGATACATTGAACAAATGGTAAGATTGCCTCGTTTTGCTTCTGGGAATAAATGTAGTTTCATGTGAACATTTTATTGAGCTCACTTTTTGCTAGTAGTGGTAGGAGTAGAGCTGAAGGTATGTTACTATTGTTTTTAGCAAAACAAGAAAATTGAAATCTGCAGTTTGTTTACTGATGCAAATAAGTTTTCTATAACTCGGGAGGAAAACTGTCTATTTTTCAAAAGTTGCTCACTGCACATTTTTTAAAAACTTTTATTCATCATTGAACTATTTATACTTAAAATGTTGGGAAGAGATTCTGAAGCTCAAGAATATGTATTGTACTTCTCCTCCATATATCACATAACAGTTTTTACTGTTCTTTGACTAAATAAATCAAAATAAAAAATTACCTCAGGAGTTTGAGTGTTGAAGTAATAAAGAATTCAGTTTGTAATTCCAAAACTCTCACTTCTTCCTCAAATAAATTCATTTGTCTCTCCCAATTTGATTGAAACTTCCAATCATAAATATCAAATTCAGAATTCTTAATTGGATCTAGAAGAGTATATACACGATCCATTATAGCATCAACATGCGCAGGATCTTCAAGTTCAGACTTGAGTTCTGCTCCAAAAATATTATTGAACTCTTTTAAAACCTGTCAATACAGCAGAAAATTCAATATCTTAGGAGAACAAATTCAATTAATACATTGTTAATTTTAAAAAATATTATTTAATCGTACAAGAGATCAGGTGAGCCATGGCCCTCATGAATGTTTTGAAAGGGGTCCTGCAGCCCTTCATAATAAAACATTTTATTTCCTTTATTTTAAGCATATATTTAGGCATATAAGCATATATTTAAAACATTAATTCCCTGATTTTCCTCTTTTTTAACCTTCCAATTGTTTTATGGCATTCGGGAATGATGCTTTTCAAGCCATCTGACATCTCAGTAAATGGTTCAGCATACAAACAAATGCATTTACTAATTATGACACTGAAGTTAGTGATGGCAAACTAAGAGAATGAATTTCATCTTCAAGTCTAGTTTGCTTGATTAATTCAATGAGGATGGAAAGTGAATTAGCAGAATTAGATTTGATTTATGTCCCTCAGGTGGCTCATGGATAGCGCACTAACTCTCTGTGGGGTGATCCTGGATTCAATTCTTGGTCAGAGCAAAAATTAAGATGTAGCTTTTTAATGCAATAATCTGTTTCTACAGCTGTGTGACAAAAAAAATGTTCAGGCAGGACAAATATGCTACACACAGAAATGGGAATACATCATGCTCGCCATGTCTCCCCAGCTGCGGATAAATAAAAATAGGGCCCACGTCTGGGAAGACTGCTTGCTGGTAAAAGTCACATTAATCTGAACCTGAAATGTCAATTCCATAAAGATTTGATTTACACTTTCAGTAACCTCTTTAATACCAATTAGCCACCTCTATTAATGGCAAATTTTTGCCCGAAGCATTGTTGACTGCTTAAATTTTGCAGATTTCACTGTATTAATGGATAATTTTTGTTCAATTAACTGTTAAAAATCCTATGTTAGCAAATTCAAAACATTTTGTAACTTAAAAAAATATGCATAGCTTTACTAAAGTATGCATAATCATATACAATAATACAATTTATCTAATATTTTTCATGAAAATAAAGTTTGAAGCACCAAATGCACCAATCACAATAAATCAAAAACTTACATTATATTAATTTTCACAAACTGTACTCCCCTTACAAAATGTCACATTTAGTTTTTGTTTTTCTGATAACAAGTAAATACTCCTCTCTATGATTACTATAGTTCTTATTTACAAAAACCTCTCACATTACCCACCTTCGTTATTTTAAGCAAGTCATTACATACAGTTCTAATCCATTCTGATTCACGAAATAATCGATTTCTATCAAATTCCCATCTATGACTTCTTCCCTTTTCTTCAATCATTTTTCGAACATCAAAATAGCTGTTTTTCCATGTCATTAGTACGTTACTACACTCTTCAAGTGTGAATTGGATCTCTTCTAAAGGTAACCTATATTATAAAAAAAAAAATGAGAACTGTAAATAATTGTGTAGTACATAAATATAAACAAAAATTGCAATTTTTTCATTAATTTTGTAAATTACTGATTACAAATTTATGAACATATCAACAAAAGGAAGTTTATACATGGAATGGATCTAAATCATTCTACATACTCAAGAAGGGTTTTGATTTCCAAAAATTTTCCTACATTCTTGAGTAAGACATAAGCTATTTTCTCCATTAAGGAAACCATTGTATCATCTTTGTTGTAATAACTTGACAGAATCCATATCAGGTACAATTTTTTCATCACATACTCAATTGCATGTTTCACTTTCTGGAAGCTAGAGAATTCTGTTATTGTCTATGAAGTGAAGGAACATTAACGTGAAATATATTAGTTTCTACAATCAAATCATGAAACACAATTTTAATACAATATATAATGCAAACTATTATACCTCAAAATACCTCTGAATTGAGCTCAAAAATGTATGATTACTAAGGGCTTCGTGATAATTTTTCATGAAAAATGACATACTCTCCACGAAACTGTCACCATGTGATGACTGAGCTATTTTTAGAACTTCAACTATTTTATCAACATTAGACTGAATTAATTTCATTTCTTCCACGACAGTATGCAATGTTTTAAAACGTTCTTCCCAGAATGTGTATTCATCAAGAGGCTCCTTGCCAGTAAGCTTCTAAATAAAACATTTATTTACTATCAAAACTATTGAATTAACTGTATTTCCAATAGATCTGTGCAAAAATGTATTAGAGCATTTAAATAAAAAAAACTCCTACTTGTATTAATGCAGTCTGCAAAATGTCTTTCACAGATGTCTGTAAAGTAGAAATGTCTTTCTCCAATTGTTCTACAATAACTGGATCTTTTGGTGAATTAACAAGATCTATGGTACTGGGATCATGAAATACTTCAATATAAGGTAGAACAGAACTGTCAGGATCTTCTTTGTGATCAATTGTCCTGGTATCAGAAATAACATGTAATTATTAACTATAAAAATTTGTAAAAGCTTCAAGTACATTTTAAATGATCAAACAAAATTTAAACAAATTAATGATATCTGACTTACATAACACAAAGTTACTATACTACTTAAATATCAATTAAATAACAACTTCAGACATCCAATACCATAAAAATGATGCAAATATAAAAAACAATAATGAAACCCTTTTAATAAAATGTACCCTGGCATGTAGAAAAACTACCCATTACTGTCTGTGAACTACAGACAGTGGCATAATATGTGGGAAGGCAATTACAGATATTGTCCACTCATTGAAGAAAAATAGGAAAAGATAAATGGGATTTAACTTATATATTAATTTCAACAGAACACATTCTTCTTCAATTCTAGGTCTCTTTCTGAAGTAGAAAGCAGAATTCATCATACTGGGACAGCACACTGTCCCAAGGTGAAAAACGTAGTGAGAAGCTTCAGAGAAGTCAGATTTTGATATCTTCCCAGGCATTACCATAAGGAATTGTTTGTTCCATAAGTGCTTGCACACACATCGCAGTGAAGCAAGCATGGGGAGACTGAAGCCCAAGTGAACAGGTCATATTATGAGCTCTCAGCACATCACTTCTACTGCTAGGATAGATGTCTTTTTTACCTCTGAACATTCCAGTTTACATTAATTACTGTGCTCAAGTGTAGATGTGTTATAATTTTATTTTCTAATTATGTACCAATGATTTGAATCAGACAAACAACACATAGTCCTTACATTGAATTAACACTTTAGAACATAATATTTAAACCAATGCCCTTGTATGACTCAAAAATGTCATTCTTAAAGCATAGACAATCAAAGCTAGAAACCGCACAGAGAGTCGATACGTGAATGTCTCCAGTGCACGACTTACAGAGATTGTCAAAGAAACAGTCATTAGAAAAACAATATACAAATAACAAAATATTCCCCAAAGCTATTTTTAACCGTAAAGATGTAAAATAGACAGATGAAAAAACTAAGTAAAGGTGGATGACAAAGCAACATCTGGAATCACCAAATCAACTACCACACACCAATACCAAAAATCCTGCTGTTTATGAAAATGATAATCATGAATACTAAATACAATACTTACCACTGAATAATATCATGGATTTGATTTAACTTCTCCAACAGAAAGTGTTTGTGAGCATTATCCCTTTGTATTTCATCTTCAATACTTCCATCTACTTCCATACTACCAATGAGCCTTTTTGCAGTAATTTTCTCTGGCCAAGAATCAGAAATTACAGCTTGTTGTGATTGAAATCTCTTCCCAAATGTTAGATGGACTAAATCATTACTACTGAAATCCACATGATGTCCACTCAAATCATGTTGTGGAATTTGTTTTGGATGAACTGCTGGTACTAAAGAAGCTCGTTTTTCAGCACTTTTATTCATATCAACTATGAGGTCCATGTAATATGATGGTGTCTTATGGGAAATATTACCCAATTCTGTGTCTTGTAAATTTACTTTTGCTTTTATTTGCATCTTTTCTTTAATATCAATATGACTTGGTTCATGGTACATCATTTCAACAAATGGTGAAAGTAACTGTAACAAAAGAGTTTATAATTAAATTTTATCACAGACTTTTAAATAAAACCATCTTTATACATATATTTACATGAAAGGAATTCAAACATACCCTCAATATTTTAAATAACATAATCAAGTGAATGATGATTTACGTATGATGAAATTTGGAAAATGTGTAAATTATCTCTCAAAAATTCAGTTCTGTGACTGAAAGAAACTTACATTTTTAATCATTCTATTCACATATATGAAATAGTCACTTTCCATTGTTCCAACTAGAATACACTGAGGTAGTAATTGCCATGCCTCTTTAAGGCTTGAAACTTCTGGAACTCCATCTTCATAATACCGTAAAAAATATACAAACTTGCATCTCATACCCTCTTCATCATACTCCTTTGGGATGCGTCCAAACAATGCATGCAAAATAGGTTTCTGTATAACTTTTTCCACTTTTTTCTAAAGTAAATGAAGTGGAAAAGATCAGAAAAAGAACTCATTTAGTACAATTGTAAAGAAAAGTTGTTTGCAAGGCCAATATATGAAATGTAAATGTTCAAAATCAGTAACAAGACATACTAGTGACCTAAAGCAGCTAAAATGTTGCTTTTCCAAAAAGGATTTCCAAGCACAGATTGACAAGCACACTGCTCAAAAACAACAAATAAAATACTCGCATAGAACTTTGTAATAAATTAAATATTTTAACAAAAACAGTATTCATGGACACTAAATAACATACAATACATTTAAACAGTACAACAGTTCTCAACCAATATCAAAAAAGGTGCTGTTCTTGAGTAAGTTCTCAGAGCCAGCATTACTGCTGCCTCTGCAAAAACTCTGTCTGGGAAGTCCGAGTTTGAAACCCAATTAGTGATGAATTTTGACACTAGTGGTGTATTATTAGCATTTCTCTTATATTTTTATTTATTCCCCTAATATACAAAACCATATCAGACGATAATAATTGCACTTATAATGCCCTAATTCTGATAGAAGAAGCATTGTTACTCAGCCTTTTGCCTGGAATGTGAGTTTAGATTTCCAGTTCTCATTTATTAGAAATTTACATTTTTAAAGTCAATGATATTTGACATAAAATGTTGAAACAGCAACTTTGTCTTTGGCCAAAAGGTATATGCAATGTAGTCTCTCATTTGCCAAATGCAGGAATTACACCTTCCTAAGCCAGGTGAGGCCACAAAAGACCCTGCATCACTTCTTCTGGGATAATAATGCTTTTTAAGTTCAATTCTCGTTTTAATTAAATAAACAAAGACTTAATAAAATATAAATTTTATTACTGGTATGATAAAATGTGGGAAGAATTTGATAAGTGAAGTTTGTTTTATGAAATGAAAAAATGTTTCTGTGAAATAAATAATGCAATTGTAACAGTATTATTATTATTTTACATTGCAATGCTTTCTAACTTCGGTATTACCTTCCTTGAACAATATGAAATATAATGTAATAAGCATTATCAAACTTATTAATATCCAAGGTGCAAACACCAACCTAGCAAATTGTAAATATGCATTATAATACCCAAGAAATAAAATTGGTATGGTTGATATTCAGAGCTATCAGCTGTAATTGTCATTGAAGAAGAAAAAACAATAATACTTGCCAGAACCATGATAACTTCTGGTTCAGGCTCAGTGGGACTCTCCTGTCCTAGCTGAATCTCAGAAGCAGTTACTGGCTCAGGCTCTGGTTCAGGCTCCGGTACAGTTTCAACCACTATTCAGGACAAAGAAATACTCACTTTAAACAAATATACTAAATTCATATGTATAAAAAATTTAGTTCCATTAAATTGTAGACAGTGAAAAATTGAAATACAACAGTCAAGTAACAAAGTTAATAACAGACAGCCATTAAAAAAAAAGAAAGAAAGGAAGACAACTAGGTTATTGGCAGAATTTTTAATTATTTTATCTAGGCAATTCCTGCTCATCTCTACATATGGATAAAATATTTAAAAACATACAAACCAAGTATTGGCTTCCCAAAAACTGTCAGGCCAAAATAATGGTGTAAATAAAAAATAGACTTTAGAAATTGAGTTATGTATACCTACTATATTTATAAAAATTTGAAGTCTTGTGATTCAAAATTTATTTTACAGTGAAACCTTTAGATGTTCTAAATCATGGCAAATTGCACTAGAACATTTGTTTCAAAACTTCCCTTCTCCAGGGTTCAGTTTTGAAACATATAAAAAGAAAAGCAAACAAAGTAACCTAATGAATTTTTATTCTTTACTTCCATACTATAAAATAATTATTTATAGGTGTAAAAACATTATTATTTTTAAAACGTCACCAAAAAACTGTTTTTTCTGGTTTATTAAAAAAACACGAAGGTGGACAAGACCCATTTTAGAACAATGGGTCTCACATTGCAGAGAAAAGGAAAAATATTCTTCAATCCTGGAAGTTGAATCTACCTGGATAGAACAATCTTGTCACAAACACTTTTTATAATAATTTGTTAATTCTTTATGTTAAACCAGAAAATGTCAGACATTCAGTGGGGATAAAAGCAATATTAACTAGTTTGTGTGCTTTGTAGTTTTTTCACATTCAGGTAAATTTTTTTGATCCGGTTTTGAAATTTTAATTCCTACCCTTGCTCAAATAATGCTCTCCTTCTAAGATTTTGCCATTTTCCCATTACTCATTACCTTGCAGGAATTTATAGTCTAAAAGACAAACCACACTGAAAACCAAGACAGCAAACATGTATCTGGAGGTCTGAGACACATGTTCATACATTCTATTAAAATATACAAGTACTGTCCCATACCCACTTCCCCTATAAAAGTATTGAATTTTAAATTATATTTCTGAATATACAGAAACAAATGCAATGAAAAAACCAATAATTATGATGAACAGAACTCACAGGTCTCAGGACTTATTCTACCACTCTTCTTTCTTTTTCCTTCTCCTTTGCCTTTCTTCTTCTTCTTTTTCTTTTTGGTTTCATCGTCCTCCTCTGCTTCTCCATCATCCTTCTTTAATCCTTCATGTTCTGTCACAGGAGAACTTGTTTCACCAGGACTTTCTGCAGAATTTGTTTCTTCTAATGTTGCCTCAATTGATTCACTATCTTCAGATTTTGTTTTCCCTTTCTTCCCACTTTTGATTTTGCCTTTTCCCTTTACTTTCCCTTTGTCCTTAACATCTTTATCTATTTCCTCATCGGGATCTTCCTTTTTTGTCACTTCTTCTTGAGATGAACGGGTTTCTGAACGAGATGGAGTTTTAGATTTTTTAACTGTAAGGATAAAAGTATTTTGTAATAACTTCATAAATTCAGTCAATTTGCGCATCATTAAAAACATTTTGTTGTACATCAAAATCTGGGTAAATGTTTCTTCAAACTCAATGTGAGGGCTGGATTTTGGGGGCCACTCTAGTAGAAAAAAAATTCCTCCAGATTTACTAAAAATCACTAATTATAATTGAGTAACTTTTTGAACATGAATGAAATTTATCAAATTGTATAGAGAATTGAACATGTATTACATATACAACACATTTTGACATTTTGTACAAATATTTTATCTTTTTCTACAGCGCAGGGCCCCCGAATTGGGGGTCCCTAAGTAATTGCTTGTAGGTAAATCTAGCCCTGCTCATTGTGACATCAAATTTTCATTTAAATATACGTACCAACTTCTGGAACCAATATTTCTTCTTCAATAATTGCATCAACATAAGATTTATAAAATATTATTGTTCTATAACTCTCATCAGACACAAACAATTGGTCTCTATTTAAAAATCCTTCCAATTCTTGTTTGATTTCACCACTCCTCTGTAGCATATCATCAAATATTGTTTCATCTGTTTCTCCCATAAATGTTAGAACTCTTTCCTTAATCCATTCAGTTCTCAAATCATCCATTTTTCTTTTTTCATGTGGATTTTATACAATATTTCATTTGTAGAGGCATTTGCAACCTAATGCTTGTCACATAAAAATATGCACTTTTCCTTCCTGATCATTGTAGTTACCTTATAAATAATTACAACTACCTTTTCTCAATTTTTCCTGATTTTTTAATAATAAATCATATCAAATTTTGTAATTAATTGTAATGAAAGTCATTTTGATAAAACATACTAATTCTGACAATGTTTTTAATATTAATTAACTGACTCATTAATTTGATTAATAACCATTTGATTAATTGTTTGATAATAATTCATTAATATTGCAATATTTCTACAAAAATCACGAAACCTTTAAATCAAAGCCTCCGTCCGACTCTAGTATATTCTAGTACAGGGTATATTCTTAAGGGTATATTAGGGTATATTCTTTACGAGAATTTAATGTATTTGACATTTGAGTGAATATTGGAAGAGGCTACCATTTAGTCGTCACACATAACCGGTGTTTATTATTACGGTAAAATTACACAGGTAGTGGTAATCGTGAGGATAAAAATATATCCACTACTGCATACTTCCTCAATGCTGTGGGGGGTATTGTTTCCTGCGAGTGAATTTTCTTATCAAGTGTCATATTCACGTAACTTATTACACCTTGTAAAACGAGCCTGTTTCCCTTAGCAACAGGTCGCTATGACTATTGGTTGAAGCATTGCAATGCCTTTCCAGAGAAAGTGCATATACCTTGAATCGGAGATCGATTAGAGAAATTAATATATTTTTCTTCAAAAGTTTTTGCATTAACATTAAAGCATTTTACATTTAGGTAAACCAGAACATTTGTTTTACTGTTTAGCAACATGTGATATAATTTTGTTAAAAAAGTACAAAACATACATTAAAAAGAATAAAATTGTTCGTTTTTATTGTTTGATTTTCGGGTTTATAGAAGATTTGAATCAACGCACAAGAATTGCACAAGAACAGCAACAACGAAATTAAATTTATGAAGGGCCTTTAAATCAAATGTATCAAAAAACCAATTCAGAAGCTGAAGGTACACGCGTATGTATGAGGGAAGCATAGGAGGCGTAACTTGGGAGAGTGCGAGAATATTATTTCAGTCCCATAAATCTGAAGGAATTGTTTCACTTCCCAAAACGCAATAATATTTATAATAATAATAATAATAATAATAATAATAATAATAATAATAATAATAATAATAATAACGACAACAACACAAATTCTAAGAATGTATAGGTATAAGATCTAGAATTATTGGATTAAGAAATTAACAGCATTACATTCTGATCTAGCAAAGGCTGTTAATAAAATTTTAGAAAACCTATAGGAACTTCCGAAATAGCTGACACGCGGCATCAAGTATCTGCTACCCAAATCGGGACACAATTCTTTGGCGGAGAACTACAGGCCAATCACTTTTTTACCAGTAATGTACAAAGCTATAACTGCAGCCATAGCTAACAAAATGTACAGACATCTAAAGAAGAACCATCTGTTGCCAGTTAAACAGAAAGGAGGTCATAAATATTCTTATGGCTCTGTGAAAATCTTGCTACTAAATAAAGTCAACTTGAATGATGTAAGGAAACGAAAACGTAATTTAAATGTGACTTGCATCGATTACCAGACCTTTGACAGTGCAGCATACAATTAGATTTTGAAGACCTGGAAATCTATCGATTTCATCCAAGACTTAGTGTTTTACAAGGCTAGTATGAAATTGTGGAATACCAGGTTACTAAAACACAGTGGAAAGAAAGTAGTAGAAATAAGTATTCAGATTAACAGGGGAATTTTTCAAGAAGATTCGCTATCCCCTCTGCTGTTTTGCATTAGTTCGATTCCACTATCTAGACAGTTGTCGCACACTGACTTTGAGTAATACTAATACTAATACTAATACTAATACTAATACTAATACTAATACTAATAATAATAAGAATTAAGTAATAATAAT